CATAAACACATTTCATTACACCAAATACACAAAATACTGTTCTTTTTAGCAGCATCATATGACCCCTTTAACAACCAAAAAGTTTTGTTGTCCGTTGCGGAAGAACAGACGTTCCTCTCGTTGATAGCAGAGGAACGGATCCAGCGAGAGCTTGATGGGGCGATGCGGAAAGAAAAAAGTTTTTTTTAGGAGTCGTGGTAGTAGAGGCGGCGCAACTATAACGACATGTGAATAATCCCGCTGTGTTTTTTGAACCTTAAACCGCATAAACACATTTCATTACACCAAATACACAAAATACTGTTCTTTTTAGCAGCATCATATGACCCCTTTAACAACCAAAAAGTTTTGTTGTCCGTTGCGGAAGAACAGATGTTCCTCTCGTTGATAGCAGAGGAGTGGATCCAGCAAGAGCTTGATGGGGGGCGACGCGGAATAAAAGTTTTTTTTAGGAGTCGTGGTAGTAGAGGCGGCGCAACTATAACGACATGTGAGTAATCCCGGCCACTCTAAAGAGGTACTGAACTGCAGTGGAAACGCAAACCGTGACGAACCGTGCTGTGCCGTACTGAGCCGTGCCGAGCTGTACCACGCAGTGGAAAAGCGCCATTTGTGTGTTTGTCTAATGTGGTATCTTCACCATATCTGTGTACACTTATAAATTTAACATGGCTCTTTATACCGTTCTTTTTTCTAATGTGTTTGAAAGTGATGCCACCTGGTAAGCTGTGAGGCATCATCTTTGCAGCAGGCCTCAAAGCTAGCCTCAGACTCTTGTCTCCGTGTGTAGGTGCCTACACACAGCTATCTTGTCCCCTTGCTTTGCGGAGGCTAGCTTTGTTCCCTTGTTATCCGGTCAGGGATGTGTGAAAGTGGGGCACAGGTCGGGGCTCTTTGTCCCCCTTGGGCAAATCAGAAGTGACAGACACCGGCCCACTCCCCCACTAATTTGTCCCCCCATCAGGACAGACTTCGCTCAGGGCCACTAATTGCAGCGAGACGCACAGGCCTACAAGGGAACAGACACATCACATTATTAACGCTGGAAGGGGCCAACGGGGTAATTGCGGATCATCCTTCATCAAATTATTTGGGCATGTTTCAGCATTCAAGAATAGCGCCGGCCTGACGGGTTGAGGGGTCAAGCCCAGAAAAAACAAGGGGGCAATGATGTTCAGTGCTACCAAGAAAAATTACAGCACTACTTAATCAAGTCTGTTTTTAATTAAAAAAGTAATTATTAAGCTATAGATGATTTTAGACATTTTTTGTGTTTGTAGACATTGTGTTTAAACTCGTGTAGAAAGATGCGTTGAAACGTGTATGATCTGCTCATCACATATTCTTTGTTTCTTTTATTATTTTAGTGCCGTGGACCCCGTGAGGAGGGATCTCTGAGTGTCTAGTGCCATCATTATCCCCCAGCTCTTCCTCTCATTCTCTGCATTTCTTCAGCTCCACCTGTACGTTAGTGTTCACTGGGATTTCAGGAGCATAAGCAGCCGTCATCACTGATCTCATCCTCAGCCCAAAGGTTACGACGACGCTGTTTGACGATGGCACAGCTTTTGTATGTCACTGTGGTTTTGGCCAAAGTCTGCTTGCTTCTGAGGCTCTGTGCTGGAGGTAAGGGTGTTTTCTGTACTTCACACCTGTGTTCTTGTCTTCATCTTTCATTTACAGTAGCTTTAGCTTATATTCATGCTCTTCACATAAACCAAGCACAGTCTCAAGCATGTAAGTGGCATTCGAACAAGGTGATAGGTGTTTGTCAAGCCTTTTTGCAACTGCTCTATGCAAACTCTGCTCTGAGAGTTGTTATATATGAACACTCCACATAAATGTGATCTCCAGAGCTACTGTGAGAGCTCACCTCAAGCATTTCAATATTTAATTCTGAATGGAGCGTTTATCAAATACTCATCAAATGCACACAGACCCTTTTGAAGAAATTAAGAAATATATTGCTGTTATGTAGTAACATAATAGTAATCGAAATTATTACGCAATATCACACAGAATGGCTGTGACTTAACTACAGTTTCATGCCACAGGTAATTTAATTCCACAGATAAGACTTTATTTTACCAAAAATAAGAATGCGTTGCTTTGTTTCATGCTGTGAAGCTCTGTATTGAAGCTCTTAATTTGATAAGAAAATAATGCAATGTAATGTTGTAAATTGTTATATTTTCATTTGAACACAATGAGGTACAGTTGGCTGTTTTTGTGATTTTAAAGTTGGTTTAGGGGAAATTCCTTCATCACTTTCTTGAAGATACAAGTTTAAAGCTGAGACACGCTGGTTGTTTTGAGTTTCGCATTCTCTTGCATCTGTTTGTTTTTTTGGGGGGGCTTTGATGTGATTGTAGTACAGCAGGGCAGGAATCATATGTGCCCGTCTGAACGTTTCCATATGCTTAATAACGTGATGTTTACTGATGTCAGAGAAAACTGATAGCTTTGTTTAATAAAAACGCCCTCCCTGAGACAAACTAACTGATGGTTGCCTGTGGACAATCAATGAGCTGTGAAGGCAAACAGCAACGGCCGATTACTCGGAAAGCAGTTTTGGTGCACAGAAAAAAAATGAGTTTGTGTTGAAAAGCCTACTGCTTTATATTTTAGCTCATATTGTTTGTTAACATACTTTAACTCTGAACTTCTGCGTAAAACAATACTTTGTGCTCTGGTTTAGAACACCCTCGGATATCTCTGAGGTGTGTTTACTCATGCCAGGGAGTTCAAAAGACATCTTTCCCATCGTGACTCACTCCTGAACCACGAGCCTCTCGGAGGCCCCCCACTAAAGGAAGCTGTTAAAATGATTGTTGCCGCTCTCTCTTCCTTTTTTGGCACATTAACCATTTCCTCTATGGCACTTCACAATTGCTAGTTGGTAAGAACTATTCCAAACACACTGTTTACTCCGGAAATACTTGGGCCTTTTTGTGCTGTTGATTTAAGATTTAAGCCCCTATTTAGTAGATTTTAGATATTACAAGAGGCTTGCTTGTTTTCGGTTCCACACCGACTATAGAACTTGAGTGGTTTATTATTTTTTATAAAAAAAAAATTTTAATTCACCTACATTTTTGAATGAACAAATAAAGCGTTTATTTATTTGTTTTAATGTGTATGTTTGAGAAGTTTTGAATTAATCATATTTAGTCCACACTAAGAATTCAAAACATGCCACTTCAGATAAACTCTATTTTTTAATAGCCTAATCTTTTATTTAATTCTGATCAGTTAGTTGAGAGAAAGAAAAGTGGTCTGATAAAATGCCAAGTAGTCAGATTTTCAAACAGCTCAGTTTTCCTTTAGAGTTCATATTATATCAAACATCAGTCTAATGTCCTTGTCAGTGCATTTTTGTACAGATGCAGCAGAAAAGTAGGAGATGGTTGAAACCAGAGACGCAGCATGAAGGCGAGGACATTTGACTTCTCAATGCGCTGTTGTTTCTCTCAGTGTTACAGTTGTGTAACGGCTAGTTAAATACCTCTATAGTACATCTTTTTTACCTTGCTCATCAGATGCACCCCTGAGATGTAATTTCAGGAAGGTGTCTGCACCTCTGAAACATAATCTTCAAGAAACAGAGAGGTGACATTGGCAACTGAAAGCCCTCAATTGGCTCCAATAGTGCAAAGTGCTTTTTTCCCAAGCAATTGTGCACTTGTACCTGGATTGAACAGTGAAAGAGGTTAGCACTCCTCCTAGGGGAGAAGAAAACGTGTTTTAAATGCAGGCAGGCATTTAATTTCGTGAGGTGAACAAATAAAATGCATGTAAAATTGCCCTAGAAATGACAATTTATTTCAGTATACTGACTTAATTCAGCTATATTTAATTCCCAGTTCTCCTCCAAGTACAATTTCAAGTGTCATGTGTGAGGATTAATGTGAAGTGGGATATAGTCAATGAAACAATGCATTGCTGTGAAGGGAAACAGTGTAATTCAGCTTTGCTGTAGACTGAAATCTATTTTTGATTTTCTTCTTTTGCTCTCTTTCTTCCCTTTGCACTTTTTCTCAAGTGAGAGAGAGAGGGTAATGGTGTGTATCTGCTGGAGAGTCTCATTATGGGGGGATGGATGATCTGCCAGACCTCAGACGCCACTGTAACTGGCGGCAAAATTAGGCACACATGTGAATGTGGAGGCTCTAATGGGCCCCTCTGACACATCAATCATCGCCCACAACCAGTCACAGGCCAGCAGTGGGCAGAGATTCTTTGCCCAGTCAGAAGGACTGCTTTACAGCTATTTTGAAGAGTTTTGAAATCCTGACATTGTTGTAAGTTGCACTTTTTTGCCACGCCCATAGATTTTTGTGTAGGGATGCACCAAAATGAAAATTCTTGGCCGAAACCGAACAAAATGAAACACTGGGCCGAATACCGAATACGGTTTTTCGAGTTTTTTCCCCCATGTATTTTGACAATTTTTTTTTCACCATTGCATAAATTAAATAGCCAAAATGTGCTTTTTACTGTTTTGTCTTGTTTTTCAAAGAAAAAAATCAATTACAAAACAACAATTTAAAAATATTTAACACTAAACATTTTTTAACATTCTAGCAGACATTATACCAACAAAGCACAATTTAACTTAAAATTAATAAGTTACTAAAACAATATTTTTTGGCGATCAGACCCCCTTCTTGAATCAGGCATATATTTTTTACTGTAAAATTAAAAGCAGCCTTGCTGAGCAGAAGAGACTTCTTTTAAAATATTACAGATCCCAATTTGAACACTGTGTGTATGCTATAATAAATGTATTAACAGAGCTGTTGTAATTATTATCATTATTGTCTTACCTTTTATTTTATTTTATTTTACATAATGTTCTGCAGTTTATTCACTAATTGTTTAAGGCCATTTCAGTTCGTGCAGCGCTGTCAGAATACATGCAATTTGTGCCTGCATTAGAAAACATAACGTTCTGCAGTTTATTTACTAATTGTTTAAAGGCCATTTCACGATTTCAATCATCGTACAGTAACCAGCAACAATCCCCCCTTCCTCTTCTCATCGAAGACATGCGATGCAGTACTAAACAGTCTCACGCTGTCAGTGCTTGTAGTGATTTTTGTGTCTTTCTCGGACAGTTTAAATGCTTCTGCATTAATGACATGTTTGTTGCATTATAAAGAGTGCGCGCCTCTCACTCTACACTAGTTGCTATTTGATCGCATCACGTCATTGTTCGGTACAATTTTATCAGTCTTTTTACTAATTCAGCCGAACACCGAAAGAGTTGTTTTTGCTGTTTTCGGCCGAATAATTTCGGTTGCCGAACATTCGGTGCATCCCGGGTCCCCAGGGCGGGGGTGGTCTCATTCGAAAGCGGGCCTCTAGACGTACACTCGATTCGCATTCAAGAGGGTTCCTCAAGCTGAAGGTATCCCCCGAATTTGGCCGTTACGGAGATATGGCCGTTCAAAGTTTCAATGGTTTTCTATTTTATTTTACATAATGTTCTGCAGTTTATTCACTAATTGTTTAAGGCCATTTCGCGATTTCAGTCATCATACAGTAACCAGCAACAATCACCCCTTCCTCTTCTCATCGAAGACATGCGATGCAGTACTAAACAGTCTCACGCTGTCAGTGCTTGTAGTGATTTTTGTGTCTTTCTCGGACAGTTTAAATGCTTCTGCATTAATGACATGTTTGTTGCATTATAAAGAGTGCGCGCCTCTCACTCTACACTAGTTGCTATTTGATCGCATCACGTCATTGTTCGGTACAATTTTATCAGTCTTTTTACTTATTCAGCCGAACACCGAAAGAGTTGTTTTTGCTGTTTTCGGCCGAATAATTTCGGTTGCCGAACATTCGGTGCATCCCTATTTTTGTGCAGTTTACAGTGAAAACCAGATTCAAGATCCTTCAATCCCAAAGTCATTCCTCAAGCACTGACCCTGAGTAGAGAGAATGGAGAAGAGGAGTAAAGAGTAGTGGTTCAACGGAACACAAATCTCATGGTTCGGATCACATTACGGTTTTTGACCCACGGATCGGATCATTTTTTGGATATCGATATATCGGCCGATATTCTTTGTGTATATTATAGTACAGTACCAGTCACCAGTTTAGACACTTTCCCATTGGTGTGTCCAAACTTTTGACTTGTACTATATATATAATACAGTATATACATAAACAATATATACTGTATACATAAACACTCACTCAAATGTGGTGATCAAACACTTATAATGATGTGACAAAGATATGTGATGGAGGCAGGGCATTTAACAATTTAACAATAAACTTTATTATCCAAAATGAGTCTGACATCAGTGCACTGAACAGTAAAGTTGAAGTTTATTCAACTTTAATTCAATTCAGTTCTATTCAACTTTATTCCGTTGAAGTTTATTTGACTTCGGAACATTCATTCACAGATTTGCGCTACTGTCTTCACACACAGATTAAACTTACTAGAGTGCGGATCCGCCACGCCGGTATGGAGATATGGCCGTTCAAAGTTTCAATGGTTTTCCAGACTTAAGCTTCATCCTTAAGTCTGGATGAAGTCCGTTTCATCCAGGTTGCCAGTAGCAAACAATGGAGTGCACTCAGCTGGACAAACTACGTAATTACACCATTTACAAGTATTTTATCTGCGTTATATGTTCTGTAAAAAAAAAAATTAATATCAGCGGCATATTCACTGATATTGATATATCGGCGACAGGCTCATATCGGCCGATAATATCGGCAGAACGGTCGGGCTCTACTTGAGACATAACTGACTGCGCTTACCTGAATGATTGTCGAAATGGGTATTTTGTCAAAAGCCATTTTGCGATTTCAATCATCATACAGTAACTAGCAACAACCACCTCTTCATCTTCTCATTAAAGACATGCGATGCAGTACTAAACAGTCTCACGCTGTCAGTGCTTGTAGTGATTTTTGTGTCTTTCTCGGACAGTTTAAATGCTTCTGCATTAATGACATGTTTGTTGCATTATAAAGAGTGCGCGCCTCTCACTCTACACTAGTTGCTATTTGATCGCATCACGTCATTGTTCGGTACAATTTTATCAGTCTTTTTACTTATTCAGCCGAACACCGAAAGAGTTGTTTTTGCTGTTTTCGGCCGAATAATTTCGGTTGCCGAACATTCGGTGCATCCCTATTTTTGTGCAGTTTACAGTGAAAACCAGATTCAAGATCCTTCAATCCCAAAGTCATTCCTCAAGCACTGACCCTGAGTAGAGAGAATGGAGAAGAGGAGTAAAGAGTAGTGGTTCAACGGAACACAAATCTCATGGTTCGGATCACATTACGGTTTTTAGAACGGTCGGGCTCTACTTGAGACATAACTGACTGCGCTTACCTGAATGATTGTCGAAATGGGTATTTTGTCATAATTTTATGTGTATGTGTCTGTTCAGAGGATTCAGAAGAGAATTCAGTTCGGTGTTCGCGCGCCGTCTGAAACGCATGTGCGTGCTTCATGTGTGTGCAGCTGTGCGCATAGAGAACAGCAATGAATCAGTAATGAATCGAGTTCCCTTTCGCCTTTTCTTGCTGGAATTGTTTAAAATTCACTTGCTTGTGTAAATACGAACAAATGATAAACTTATACTCTATTATGGTGAAATTTTGCAATTAATCTGTGGATCACATGCGTGCCGAACTGTGGGGCTTGGTCTGTACGGATCACGGATCAACTACGATCCGTTTAACCACTAGTAAAGAGTGATGGAGAGGGATCCCTGGGTTCCTCTTTGGGGCTTTGCCCATTTGATCCTTGTTCAGCCTTCTCCTAATGCTAAATTTCCATCCTATCCCTGCGTATCAGGATCTGCCGTCATAAAGGGGGACTGTCTCCCTTAGCCTGCATGGGCTCACATTTGCTTTATGAGTAGCTCAATTACTGAAATGACCTCATTGAAATCCCTTGCGAGCAGTTGAATGAGATTAAGTCTAGACAGTGTAATTCTCTTTAAGAGTTGATTTTTATTGTTTAGTAAAGTAACATTATACGGTGTGTTTGATCCACATAAGTAAGAAAGTTATGGAGTCTGTCTGCACCCTGAACGAGAGCACTTGAGAGGCTGAGTGCGTCATTTAGTTTGCGGTCTAGAATCGTTCTGATAGACTGAGCGTATCAAAGGCAGCGTCTCGCAGCTTCACAGGCGTTATCTGGACATTTAACTGCACTGCCTCCATCAGCTCTGTTTTCTCAGGGTGTTTCTCCAGCAGTCTTGTTTGTGTTGTGATCGACGGTTTTGTTAATGTTTCTAGTTGTCTCGCATTTTGTTTTTGACTCTCATAATGCTGTTGGAGACCACCACAATTTCCTCTTTCCACACCTTCCAGATGTAATGTTGTTTTTATGTAAATATTATAAAATTGTTTCGAATCTGCAACTTTAACTAGAGTTGTTATATAAACAACAGTAATGACTGTAACAATTTATGTTTCATGAACCTCATTACATAATATGGTTTGTGGAGTGTTAAAGGGATATTTGACCCAAAAATAAAATCTTTTAATCACCCTCATGTCGTTCCAAACCAAAAACAACATTGGACCGCACTGACTTTCATTGTTTGAACGGATAACATATTTTTCCAAAATATTGCACAGGAGAAAATAAGTTATACTGGTTTGGGACAACACAAGGGCAAGAAAATGATAACTGAATTTTCATTTTTGGGTGAACTATCTCTTTAAGCACCCACAGCGTGGTAAAATCCATTTTAACTTATTACATTTAATTCAATATTAAAGTTTTGTTTTGCCTTGGGACATTCAACAGTTGCAAAGAAAACTGCTGTGATATGCTTACACATGTTAAGCATACTTCATGATATCATATTTCTAATAGCGTTTCTTTCAGGCTGCCTATTTTGTTAGGCTCATACTGTGTTTATATTAAGTTGTATGTACTCATCAATCACATTTTCAGTGTATGTATGTTGTAGATGATCCATTGAATTTTGCAGTGAATTGAAGAGCAACAGAGACTCCTTTATCGTGCCCAGCTCTCTATTCAGTCACTAAGTCCTAATAGAATTAGTCCAAGAGGAAAGTCCAGTCTAATTGTAAGATCAGCAGCACACGGGGAGGCTGTGTAAGACAGACTAGTAATGGGATCTGAGGATGGAATGCAGCTGATAAAGAGAGCGCCGTGTCGCCCTGCCGCCCAGTCTCTCAAACTGCTGCTTTGTGAGTGATTAGCTGTTTTACCGACAGGTCTGGACTGGATTGGAGTCATGCTCAACAGAAGGCTACAGCAATACATGCTCATGCACTGTGACATGATGATAAGACAGTAAGATCAGCAGTGACATGTCTCAGAAAAACCTCAGGCCTTTATTGAACTGAAATTCAAATAAAAAGGGAAATTAATGGTTGTGAGGGTGTGAAACAGAAAGGGGCATACAGGGATGCACATTGTAGTTGGGCTGCATTTGAACAGGAGCAGGTTTACAGAGGAGTGAAGGATGGGACATTAAAGTAGGAGATGGTGGCCTTGTTGAGGATTGACACAATACCTAAATTTCATTAGCCAACTGTCAGCCAGAACAGGAAACTAAATTGAGTGTTTACTACAGATACTTCAGAAAGACTGGTATCAAAGTTTTTTTAATTTAGTATATTTTTGGTTCTAAAGTACTTTTGACATCACTACTTTAAGAGATTTTAAGAAGAGAAATAAGATGCACATTGCTAGCTTTTAACCTAGATTTGTCATAGTCACTACTGTTCAAAGTTTGGGGTCTGTACTTTTTTTTTTTTTTTTTTTATATATATGTTTTAGAAAGAATTTTCATGTGCTCACCGAGGCTGCCTTCATTTGATAAAAAATTCCATTAAAAAGGAAAATTGTGAAATACTATTACAATTAAAAATAATTGTTTTCTATTTTAATAGATTTTAAAATGTAACTTATTCCTGATGGCAAAGCTGAATTTTCAGCATCATTGCTCCAGTTTTCAGTGTCACAGGTTTCAGAAATCATTCTAATATGCTGATTTGCTGCTCAAGAAACATTTATTATTATTATCATAGGGAAAAAAAAGTTGAAAAAGGGTTAGCACTGTCTAATATTTTTGTGGTAAGCTTTAGAATTTTCAGGATTATTTGATGAATGTCAAAGGAACTGAATTTTAACAAATATAAATCTTTAGAAACAATGTAAATGTCTTTACTGTCACTTTTGATCAATTTAATGCATCCTTGCTGAATAAAAGTATTAGTTTCTTTTTAAAAAATGTTCCTGACCCCAAACTTTTGAACAGTAGTGTGTGAGATTCTGGAACCACAGACATTGGTTTATTAACAACTACTGGCCATGCTGTTTCTCTGCTCACCTGGCCTAGCATTGATTGTTAGTGTCTTGTCATTTACAGCGGGTCAGAATCCTGACCATGTGCTACAGGGCACTGGAGTGAAGCCTGGCTCAGACTCCAGAAGGCCCAGGGGTGACTCTACTCTGGCACCAGAGGATGCTGCCCGCTTCCTCAGCTGCCACTGCTCAGGACACTGCCCTGATGACGCCAAGAACAACACCTGCGAGTAAGAGTCATAGGCCATGGCACCTTCTAAGTGATTATTGCACATGTTTGTGCTTTGTTTATAGGTATTCAAAAAAAATTAAGCAGATTGCTTTTCTTTAAAACATAACAGGACAAATGGGCAGTGCTTCGCCATCATTGAGGAAGATGAAAATGGAGAGGTGATCTTAAGCTCAGGCTGTATGAAATATGAGGGCTCTCACTTTCAGTGCAAGGTAAGAAACGTTGTTTCTAGTGTTTTATGCTTTGACACCTTGTGTAATTAAATATCAGACTTTCTAAGTTTGACCCATTTGATTATTCACAGGATTCACAGTTTGCACAGACACGCCGAACCATCGAATGCTGCCAGTTTGACTTTTGTAATCGAGACCTAAAGCCAGAGTTACCGCCTCGAGACACTGGTATGCTTCAGTACTAATTGCCTGGCAGATCGTACATATTATATAATAAACAAAATAAACATATAATCTAGGGCTCTCAAAATGGCAGAAAACTACATTTGAATTTTGTACTTTAAATATTATCAAAATTCGAATTATATTCTAATTTAAAATGCATAATTTCAGTTAGGGTGAAGGAAAGCTTTTGGCTTCTCTTCTGAGGCCACAAGAGGGCGCATTGAACAAAATATTACTAATGCACGTTTATTCAAAAAAATAAGATAACATAACTATCTGTGAAAAAAGTGCATAATGTTTATAAACCAATTATAATTAATTAAGTTGCTTAAACAACTATAAACAAGACCGCATCATGTATGTATTCATAGTTTAATGCAAAGGGCGGAAAGCCAATCACACAGAGTACATTTTTCATTTAAAAACATTAGATGCAGTGGGATGGGGGGAAAAAAAAACAACCAAAGTCTCGATATATGTTTTTTTCAAAGTTGAACTTGCATTCATTTTACATGGCTTTCTAAACATGTGGCTCCTTTGTGCGAGATGCGAGTGCAACGGTGATAGATGTCCCTCTAGAAAATGTGCAAAATATGTGTTCTGTGTGAACTGCTTGGTTTCAGTTTTGATGTAAACAAGATCTTCTCCGCATATCCATTTTTTGTAGGATATTAATACTTTTATTCAGCACGAATGCATTAAATGGATCAAAATGGTCAGTAATCGACATTTGCATTGATTCTAAAATTTATATATTTTTAAAAATACTGATTCTTTGGAACTTTCTGTTCATCATAGAATTTAAAAAAAAAATGTAAATATAATAAATTTGCCGAAATAATAAACCGACCAGGCCTGCTGATTGAGCCCAGGTTAACCTAATGCCTTAATGATGGACGTGTTTTCTCTTCATGTCTTTACAGAACCACCAGATCCTCACTGGCTGGCCTTCCTCATTTCAGTGACTGTGTGCTTCTGCACCCTCATCTGTGTCACTGTCATCTGTTATTACAGGTGAGATCATCACCTCACTGAAGCAGCAAAACACACTGAAGCTCTTACATATAATAGCCACTTGTGACGTGCCCGTTTTTTCCACATCAGTGAACTGTAATGCTTGCTGTGTTTTTGCATAGTACCTTTGAAAACACATGCCACCCACATCATGGCCTGTTGTTGTCGAAAGAGCAACACTTCTGTTGCTGCAAGTAGGGGCAAGACTACTAACTATAGAAAAGTTTGCCTTTATAACAAATCTATCTTTTAGTGTCTTGATTACTGAACTGTCAAAACGTGTCATGTTTGTAAAAAAAAAAAAAAGCTCTCAGATTTCAAGTACAGCTGTAAAAAAGATTTTATTTTTGACTGTGTCCTCAGGTATAAGTGGCAGACAGAGAGGCAACGCTACCACAGAGACCTGGAGCAGAACGAGGCCTTTATCCCAGCTGGAGAATCTCTGAAAGATCTCATCAACCTTTCTCAAACCTCAGGCAGTGGTTCCGGGCTCCCCCTGCTGGTGAGAAATCAAGAAATGCAGACTGTAGGTTCTTTGTAGGCTCATTTTTTTATTCACCGTGTTCCTGCTAATAGAAAATGTGCAAAATATGTGTTCTGTGTGAACTGCTTGGTTTCAGTTTTGATGTAAACAAGATCTTCTCCGCATATCCATTTTTTGTAGGATATTAATACTTTTATTCAGCACGAATGCATTAAATGGATCAAAATGGTCAGTAATCGACATTTGCATTGATTCTAAAATTTATATATTTTTAAAAATACTGATTCTTTGGAACTTTCTGTTCATCATAGAATTTAAAAAAAAAATGTAAATATAATAAATTTGCCGAAATAATAAACCGACCAGGCCTGCTGATTGAGCCCAGGTTAACCTAATGCCTTAATGATGGACGTGTTTTCTCTTCATGTCTTTACAGAACCACCAGATCCTCACTGGCTGGCCTTCCTCATTTCAGTGACTGTGTGCTTCTGCACCCTCATCTGTGTCACTGTCATCTGTTATTACAGGTGAGATCATCACCTCACTGAAGCAGCAAAACACACTGAAGCTCTTACATATAATAGCCACTTGTGACGTGCCCGTTTTTTCCACATCAGTGAACTGTAATGCTTGCTGTGTTTTTGCATAGTACCTTTGAAAACACATGCCACCCACATCATGGCCTGTTGTTGTCGAAAGAGCAACACTTCTGTTGCTGCAAGTAGGGGCAAGACTACTAACTATAGAAAAGTTTGCCTTTATAACAAATCTATCTTTTAGTGTCTTGATTACTGAACTGTCAAAACGTGTCATGTTTGTAAAAAAAAAAAAAAGCTCTCAGATTTCAAGTACAGCTGTAAAAAAGATTTTATTTTTGACTGTGTCCTCAGGTATAAGTGGCAGACAGAGAGGCAACGCTACCACAGAGACCTGGAGCAGAACGAGGCCTTTATCCCAGCTGGAGAATCTCTGAAAGATCTCATCAACCTTTCTCAAACCTCAGGCAGTGGTTCCGGGCTCCCCCTGCTGGTGAGAAATCAAGAAATGCAGACTGTAGGTTCTTTGTAGGCTCATTTTTTTATTCACCGTGTTCCTGCTAATTTTTACAGGTGCAGCGCACCATTGCGAAGCAGATCCAGACAGTGCGTCTTATTGGAAAAGGCAGGTATGGCGAGGTGTGGCTTGGCCGGTGGAGGGGGGAGAAGGTAGCAGTGAAAGTGTTCTTCACTCGAGAGGAGGCCAGCTGGTTTAGGGAGACAGAGATCTACCAAACTGTGCTCATGAGACACGAGAACATACTAGGTACACTTCATGTCATTCAAGATGATCTCGTTCATGTGTAGTGTTTGAAATTGTAAATCAATTGTGTAACACAACTCTTCGATCTGTCTGAAGGCTTCATTGCTGCTGACATTAATGGCACTGGAGCATCTACACAGCTGTACCTGATCACAGACTACCATGAGAACGGCACTCTGTATGACTATTTGAAGTTCACTACTCTGGACACGCAGGCCCTGCTCAAACTGGCCTACTCTGCAGCCTGTGGCTTGTGCCACCTGCACACGGAGATCTACGGCACACAGGGAAAACCAGCCATCGCTCACAGAGACCTGAAGAGCAAGAACATCCTCATAAAGAAAAATGGCACCTGTTGCATCGCTGACCTTGGGCTTGCTGTCAAATTCAACAGGTGCTTCGTCACTCTTCGTTCATTTTGAAGTGGTTTGTTCAGTCATTTTGAGGAAGTAACGTTTTTTTGTTTGCCTCAGTGACACAAATGAAGTGGACATCCCACTGAGCACACGTATGGGGACCCGACGCTATATGGCTCCAGAGGTCCTGGATGAGACTCTGAATAAGAACCACTTCCAGGCCTACATCATGGCGGACATCTACAGTTATGGGCTGGTTATATGGGAAATGGCCAGACGCTGTGTCACTGGAGGTATTCACTGGCAAATCTTTTTGTTTTGCTTTATACTTTATCTGTTTTTTTTTATTTCTGTTAAGATTTTTGATAACACTTTAATATAGGGACCAATTCTCACTATTAACTAGTTGCTTATTAGTATGCCTATTATTAACATATTGGCTGTTTATTAGTACTTATAAAGCACATATGTGACCCTGGACCACAAAACCAGTCTTAAGTCGCTTGGGTGTATTTTTAGCAATAGCCAAAAAAACATTGTATGGGTCAAAATTATTGATTTTTGCCAAAAATCATTAGGATATTAAGTAAAGATCATGTTCCATGAAGATATTTTGTAAATTTCCTACCGTAAATATATCAAAACTTTTTGATTAGTAATATGTATTGCTAAGAACTAGGGCTGCACGATTAATCGCATGCGATATTTAACGCGCATCTTATCAGTAAAGCCGGTTCTGTAATCAGCGATAAATCTCCATCACCTGCGGGCTTTCACATTGAGCAGCATTAACTACACAGAGCCGTTGTTCACTGACGAGCTGCGCTAAACCACGTTCATATTCGCGCGATTTTTTGCGCAGCTCATCAGTGA